GTAGGGAAACAAAAGCAGGATTATAATGTTGATTTAGCAAGAAGCCACAGCAAATACTGACTTGAGAATATTCTCAATATTAAACACATTTAATTCAATGCTTAATTAAATTCATGTTGTATGCATTAGAACTATGAAATACTCAATAACAGTGGCACTGTTTTTTCCGGGTGGCAGTGAGATGGTTACGATAAGAATTCCATGTCTGTCCCATCCGTCTCTACTGTTATCTGCCCACTTATGTTCAAAACACACTCAAAAATAATTAATTTTTAGGAAGGGAATTTATTGTGTTATATATGAATTCAAATAAGATTTTATTTCCCTTAAGCATACACTTCTGAAAGTGAGGGAAGTAACGTTTTTAGAGAAGTTTTTTTTCCTAGAGCAGGAATTTTTAAGGTCAAAGTTAAGCTCACAGTAGCTTTCAGATTCTGGCAGAAACTTGCATAAAACTAGCTGGTTCAAACTCAGTACGGCTAATAACAGAAGAAGGAAGCTACAGTGGGCAGGCAGAACACCTAGAAAGGTTTTGAGGTTATGATGATACAATCTTCTATGACTATAAATGCTATTGTATGTATCCGTAGCTACTTCACATGTCATTCTGCACAAATAGCCGAAAAATTTTACAACTAAACATATCGCTACAAAAAACGTGTTTTGCATAAAGAGATGCACCACAAATAAACACTGCTTTGGGAAACTGCCTCGGGGAACCCAGCCCAGCAGCTCTGCGGTAAGAGCAGAGGACATCCACCTCAGAAGCCGGGGCAGCGGGTTGACTCAAGAACACCTCACGCTCTCTACCACCGCCATCAGCCAGACCTAGCCCAAATTGTCCTTTCTGGGGGTGCTCCAGATGCGCGGCCAGGAGCCCGCTCTCTCCTCAAACATGCAGCGAGGACACTTCTAATAGTGACTTCTTCACTGTCAGAGTTGTTAGGCATTGGAACAGGCTCCCCAGGGAGGTGGTGGAGTCATCGTCCCTGGAGGTGTTCAAAAAACGTTTAGATGTGGTACTTCAAGACATGGTTTAGTAGACATGGTGGCATCAGATATACAGTTGGACTTGATGATCTTTGAGGTCTCTTCCAACCATAACGATTCTATGATTCTATGACAATGCCCACAGCTCTGCAGGCCTGGTGAAGAACCAGTGCCACTCCAGCAGGTCCAACACCTCTCGTTACCAACCACCACCTTTAACACCTGCTCAGGAAGAGTCTTCTTCGAGGGCCACCACAAGCAGCCCGACTTCACATAACAGAAGGAAAGATTTTTGCCTCTGCATTGTCCCTCCTCCCCTCTTCCCCAAGGCAGAGCCGTGCTGGGAATGCCAGAGGTCATCTTCTAGACAAAAAGTGACAATTTAAGACCTTTTCAAAGATAGGCTCTCAGTTGACAACTCTGCTCTGCCCTTGCTTTCAGACCTCTTCTTGTGTCATGGATAATTCTGTTAAGTAACAGTTATAATCCTAAATTTAAAAGCAACAGCTTTGGGACACGCTGATAATAGTAATCCTGCACTTTCTTCCTTCCTCCTGCCTTTGCTCAAATCACATAGAGAAATTATGTCAATTAAAAATCTGCATTAAGCCAGACTATAATAAATGACAGCAGATTTTCTAGAGTACTGTTACACTTGTGAGAATAAACGTTTTTTTGCTATTTATGGAAGTAGAGTACTGTTACACTTGTGAGAATAAACGCTTCTTTGCTATTTATGGAAGCATAAGTGCACATCTATCCTGCAGGAAAATTCAGGGATAGTAATTTACTCTAAAGTCCTTACAGGCCCAGCTTTACAAATGCAAAAATTGGCATCTACATTTAATAAGTGAGCATTTTCAACCAGAAGGTTAGCCCGGTGCCAGCTGGAAGGCAGCGAGTAAGAGGCTCTGTGGAGTGGTCTCAGGCCATGGACGGCACCGATGTGCCGGATGGGAGGAGTGGTGCCCCTTGCTTGACTTCGTTGCAAAAGGGCCCAGGTGCTCCCCATGGATGGGGCGTTCTGTCCCAACGCAGAATCGGCAATAGACAGCCAAGTGGTAGGCTTTATGTCTATGGGGCATTCCCACTCCCTGGCTACAGGGATCAAGATCATATGAGACTGATTCATTTGGCCACAGCATATTTTCTAATTTACCAATTGAAGTTTTCCAGTAATTTTTCATATTATACAAGAAAGATTTATTCTGCCCTGCCATCATGTGCCAGACCTGCAAGCTCAGCTTGAGATATTAATTTACAAATTCTCAAAGGTTTCAGCAGGTTAAATCCTGCCCTGCACTGAACTTGACATTCTCTATGTTTTGTCAAAGCTTATTTTCTCAAAATCCCATCAGAATCTTTTAATTTGTTTAATCTTCAACTGGGAACACCACACAAAACATCTCTTTTTTTTTAACTAAACTTGTAACTAAGTAGTCTAAATCAAAGTGCCCAAAGATGCAGTATCGTAACAAAACTAACAGTGTTCAAGCCAGTACCACCATGGTCCTTCCCTCTTCCCCTAGCACATCCCTGCTCCTTCTCTTGCACAAGAGATGCAGTGCTCATCAATCCTCACACCAAGTCAGTTCAGGAAACAGAAACTTTTGCAAGTGAAATTTTTGAGGATGATTTTTGTCCTGCCTCATTCCGCAAGTCAGATTGCCATGAGTATCAGAGTTACCAAGCAGGAAAGGCAGGAACAGCTCCCAACCCAGTTCAGTTCAACTCAAGCAGTCACAAAGTGCCTGATGCTACAAGATGTCCCATATGTACTCAGTTGCCTTTAGTTTTTCCAAGTGATTGACATTTTGATCATGTTGCATTGCAAATGCACGTGTGAGTTCTTAACAGAAACCCCTCCAATTACCCTATTGTCAGTCAACCCCAGGACAGTAAAACAGGAAGCTAACCCACACAGTAGACGCTACTTTCTAATAATATTTATTATTGCATGTTCATTATTAATGAACAACAACTGTTGGGTATTTTTTTCCAAAGTGTCCTCCCATTTTGCAGAGTCTAAATACTCAGGTACATTCGTTTAATTACTCCTTAGGAAATTATAATACGTGAATCCAAAAAGCCAAGCAGACAGACAAAACCAGTAATTTAAAATAAAACCCAAAACTTTAAGAAATATTTCGGGGGGGGGGGCACCCCCCAAAAAAAATCCCACCTGAATCTATTGAGCAAGAGATCTAATTCATCTCTTTTTGCTAATCAAAGTGTTAATTTAGAACTCTTCCAGAAAGTCTAGATTTAGATGAAAACACCAAGCTTAGTAAGTTTCCTCCTAAGAAAACACATATTTAGAACACCCTTGCTTTAGACATTTGGAGGTTTATAGAGATAACATTGAAAGCAAAATGCAACTCCAAAAGCAGTGGGTGAGGTCTCTAGTGTTTCAAAAGGACAGGGGTTATTCCAAGTAGACACAAACGTGAACGGCCATTTGGCAAGAAGTTCCTAGGACTCAGTGTTATTGTACCTCCTTGGCAAACAGGCCATAGATAAAGCAGCCTAAAAAAACTACCTTAATCAACACTGCCGGCTGGAAAAGTCAGTTTGGGCTTCTAATCTAGCAAGAAGTCTCAATTTCTAGAATTCAATACATCCAAAATACTCTACATGATTTTCCCCTGTGCAAATTACAAAACTGCATTAAACTTCCCATTTAATGAATTTCCTATTCATTAACAGCTTTATTTTCTACATAAGAAGGAAAAAGTTCTAAAATATCAAGTAGCAATTTGAAGAGACCCAGCCTACTGATAACTATTCTTTGCTTAGACAAAACTCCTAGCACTGGTAGTTCAGGAATGAATTTTAACAGTTTTTTGGAGAAATCCACCTATCTGCAGTCTTCACCTTTCTGTTTTCAGGAAACATCCCCAAATCAGTATCTCCAGTTTTTTAATTCACAAAGGCCCTTTTGAGCATATCTCTGACAGCTCGTACTGTCGATCACTTGAAATGTCTAAATAAAGATCACAGTTACCGAGAACATCTGTATTTCAACACAGCATTATGGATCCTGTTAATAAGAGAAATTCCTAATGATGAAGAGTCTAACAGCTTTTGACCAGATGATTCCAGATACTCTCAAACTCCTCTATAGCATAGCTAATAGAATTATTTCACCCGAGTGCTTTCAAATAATTCCTTATTAGTTCTCCAGGATGTCAATAGGCAGAGTTACATTTGCATAGACGTATCCCTCAGTCCTTCTAGTTTTGCTGAGATATGTTCATTGAACATCAAACTCTAGAAGAGCCTGACAGCTCACTAGGAAGCCTCATGTCTACATTAGCAAAGTCCGTTTCACTAGTAAGCTGGCTGCTTTTACATCTTCAGAAAAAAATGGCGCACTGACTTTTACTTACGAAGTCAGAAAACGCCAGAATACTACCCCACCTCTGTTGAAGAATAACTAAGTGTGCTATTGTAACTGACACCAGCAAAATCACTTAGAAAAAAATGGTGAAGGTCCGACATGATGCACAAAAGGACCTGGACATTCCTTTCTTTAAAGGACACATTTTGAAATACAATTTTTAAAATCCTTCTCAACCCACTGAACACTAAAAAAGATAAAGTAAAATAAAAAAATAAAAAAAAAAATCAGATTTGTTCTCCAGAAGCAGAAACAGCTTTTCTACAGCTATAATGCTGGCCAACCAAAAGATGATGATAATCCGCTCCCATTTACTGGTATTTCGGTTACCATCACCTTCCAGAGCACTCTAACACAATGTCTACAGAGGACACATAAGCCACTTGAAACGTGCAACATACAGATCTATTCTAACAAGGAGTACCCAAGAGTTCAGGCATGAAACGTTGCCAGAAAACAAGAGCGATGCTGAATCAGCACAGTAGTAGTGGTATTTAGATGCAAACTACTGCAGTACCAGGTGGGGTGAAAATAGTAAGAACTTAATAAGGTTTATTTTTAGCAGTTACATAC